ACTTATAGAATGATTTAGGTGAAAATTATACTTCAGAAATACCCATCTGTCCAATAACAGAATAATCATTTTTAAATCTTATTTTAAGGCATAAGTAGGATTTTTTTTAAAAAAATATTATTTTCTTCTTGTAAGTCCTACTTATTGAATTTCATGAAGAACTATGAAGGGTCTGAGATTTTTATCCTCTGCAAGCGAACAGGTCAGCCTACCACAATGTCATGGATATGGTAGAAGAAAAATGGCTCCCAGTCCAGAGGCACAGCAGGTGGTTTGTCTTCATGTTCCCACCTGTTTCCCTTGTCCAAGTTCCATGGCGATGATGTACATGCTGTGGGTTTGTGTCACAGCTGAGGAACTCTAAGCTCAGGAAATCAAATGAGAGGTCGGAATAACCTTCTGTGACCTAACTGATGAAAAATGAGAGGTGTAAACTGAGGAAGAAGAAAGAGCATTCCAGGCAAAGGGAACTACATATGCAAAGGCCCTGTGGCGGGAGGAATTTTGGCAACTATAAACACCCGGGGGAAAAAAAGTCACTATGGTAATTCCATTGTTTTTCTGGCTCAGGGTGCCATAGAAAGCTAAGAGTGTATTATTTTCATTAGGATTTGTTGCTGTTCTTTATTCTTAAAGAACTTTTCTTCAGACACAGAGCCTCCTCATTATGGAAGACAGCCTCTTAATATATGTTTGAGTATTTTCCTTTTCTGTTAGTTTTTTGCTAATGTTTATGTATTTATTTTGAGAGAGGCAGAGAATGTGAGCAGTGGAGGTGCAGAGAAAGAGAGAGAGAATCCCAAGCAGGCTCTGTGCTGTCAGGGCAGAGCCCATCGTGGGGCTCAATCTCACCAGCTGTGAGATCATGATCTGAGCTGAAATCAGGAGTTGGAGGTTCAACCAACTGAGGCACCCAGGCGCCCCCTTTTCTATTAGTTTCGATATTTTCATTAAACATCTGATAAATTGTCATTGTCTATCTTCCATAGTTATGTTCTCCCTAAAAAAAAAAAAAAAAAATCCCATCTTCCTTTTTTCCCCTGCATTCCAAGATTGGGACCCTTCCTTGTTTTCAGTATTAAGTATTCAGTATTTTTTATTTTTCCTTTTTTTTTTTTTTTTGGTTCATGTCTTAGTTTTGGAAAAGGACATTTTTGGAGACCCTGAACTATTGTCACCATCATTTCCAAAGTGTCTGAGTCTGTTATTAAAATACCACTTTGTGTTTTCCCCTAACTCTTTAAAATTATTCCAAGGAGACTTTCAGAGAACCCCACATAATTAAAATAACCTCTTCAGTTTTTAAAAATCTTGTTACTTAAAATTGCATTTACTCGCGGGGCGCCTGGGTGGCGCAGTCGGTTAAACGTCCGACTTCAGCCAGGTCACGATCTCGC